TCGACTGTGAATTGACCTTCAAACCGCACTACAATGACATCCTGACTAAAGCTAACAGGCAGCTTGGCTTTATGTTCAAAATATCTGAAGACTTTCGCGATCCGCTTTGCCTGCGGGCGCTGTATTGTTCGTTAGTACGTTCAATCTTAGAGTATAGTGCTGTCGTCTGGTGCCCATACCAAGCATGCTGAATAGCCAGATTTGAGAGTGTACAGAGAAAGTTTGTTCGCTACGCACTTCGTCATCTGCCTTGGCGCACGCTATGTCTGAAGGCACTTTTTTTGCAACATTCATGTACCTCTGATTTTTCTTCACAGGATGTTAGTGTTGATCATAACAATCAAATCTGTGATGGTTTTAAAATATTTCATCTTGGATTTTTTGAGAAAACGTGTTCTGAAGTTTATAGAGCAGATTATGAAGACTTATATGGACTATGGACCATACAAATCTATTATGAATTGAAAAAAAAGCAGTTAAATAAGGTTCAAAAGTTGATTTAATTAATCTAAATGGCATTAAAGAAGTTCTCTTTGTAAGTAAGATCCATATTGATTATGACGACTTTGCGCGCAATCATTTTATATTTGTTGGTAGAACAACATCTTATTTAATTTCTCTTTCCTCATAAGAGTAAAAGAAAAAAAACGAGCAGGACAGCCACGCAGTGTTGCCAGATTGTTTTCATGATTATAGGTATCAAATGATTGAAAAATCGGTATTTATCGGTATTCACTATTTTAATTAATTTTATATTTTTTTCCAAACTTTTGGACTAAAATCGAATGATGTACTTTCCATGTAAGTCGGAAGAAATTTCTGGAATATATTTGAATTTGTCTCTTAATGGTACCGACAAAACTTCCAGCGGAAGAAAAAGGAAGATCTTGTGGAGGAAGTTCTAATAATTTTCGGTAAAACATCCGATGGGGATCTTCCAAGACAAATATTGAGAAACTTCTGGATTTTTTTTGAGAAACTTTCGGAAAAAAAATCCAGAAGCCATAAAAGTTTGGAAATTGGAAGCCAGGAGAAGCTCGGAAAACCTTCCAATAAGCCCGAAAAAAAAACCCATGGAGAGTGACTTATGGAAAAACTTCCAGAGGAAGACGAAAGAAACTAAGATAGATTGGAAGAAACTTCTGGAAAAAAGTCGAACTCCAAGCTTACGGAACAGTCTAAAGATACTTCAAGGAGAAGATGGAATATATCTGGAAGAAATAGATTTCTGAGGAATGTTAGCACAATACTCCCTGAATTTCTTCACAAGCTCTATTGATCTAGCAATTTTAAAATTTATAAAACATTCCTGAAAACCCCACAATGTCCCTGAAGCTTTCAGAACATTCCTGAAAACTATCCTGAAAACCATTAAATTTCTTGAAGCTCTTTGGACTTGTGAAGTTCCAAAAATATTACAGTTTCCTTAATTTCATTGGATTTCTCTGGGCTTTGCTGAGACTCCTAGGTTCTCGAATTTGAATAGAAGTTAATTAAACTGTCTTTAATTTATGGCAACCTACCCGAAATTTCGAACTATTCTTAAGTTTCAGAACTTCTGAAAAGTTCCTGAAGTTTTCCTTTAGCTAATGGAACCGCAATAAAACTCTGGAAGCATTCTGAAGCAGTTGAAAAAAACTGACGGGAGAAGACGGAAGAACCTTTCGAGCGAAGCTAGAAGAAACTTCCAAGGGAAGTCGAAATAGCTTTCCGGAAAGAATCAGAAAATTACAGGGTAAGGTGGATGAAATTTCCTAGGGAAAGTTGGAAGAAACTTCAAAAGGAAGATTAAAGAAATTTCAGGAAGTTCTAAAATTAACGTTTTTATGGACTAATTTTTCCACTGAATAAAAGTATTTCCTGATTTCTAGAAATTACCGGGATGAGTCATCAGCTGTTTTTCGACTCCTTGGTAACCAAAAACGGTGAGAAAATGGAAGCATTAGTCGAAAGAGTATCAAACATAAGACATTTTTGCAAATGACATTTTTTTGAGCAGGCTCAATAATTTTAATTCAAAAAGATAAAAATCTCTCACAATAGTTTCTTCTCACAATTCAGTGCGGGCAGGCAGTAATGATTGTTAATGAAAAATCGGTATAAATCGGTATTAAAACTCAAAAATCGGTATCCTGAGAAACTTTATCTGTATACCGGTATCATGTTTGAAAATCGGTATATCTGGCAACGCTGCAGCCACGTAATAATAGTAGGCATTGGTTTTCGTCCTGTTTCGAGTGTTTTTTTATAGATGTATCGTGTAGGAAATCTGGAATCATGAAGAAATTAGATAGTTCGCTTGAGGTGCTTCGAAAAAGCGACTCTGTAAAAAAAAATCAAAACACTTTAGAAGCGACGATCGTTGAAAGATTATTAGTGGAGTTCAATAAAGGATATGACAGGTATCCGGAAGTATTGTGTCCCGTTCTCAGTAGGTGGCGAAGGTGGCATTTGTCACCAACACATCCTGAGGGGTGGAAAATTTTCCAGGACTTTTAAAAATAAATAGAGATGTTTGACTCAACGGTGAGATCGAAAATAAATTCTGAAAACCATGACGAATTTGTTTGAAAATCGTTTATCCGATAATGTCGACAATACAGGAATGAAACTCACATGAGATTAGCTCCTTTTGCCCAGTAAGTTTAGGTAGCCCTCACCTTGAATTACTACAGAATTGCTAGAGCTTCATTGCACTTCCCATATTTTGTCTAAGGAAACTTTCAGGAAGGTTCAGTGACTTTCTAGTAAATTCTGCAAACTGGAGGGATCTGTAATAAATATAAGGAACGTTCTGCAAACTTTCAGAGAAGTTCATTGAACTTCAGGGAAGCTCTACAAACTTCAGGAAATTCTTCAAACTTGAAAGATGTGCTTCGGTCTTTAGAGGAGAAGTTCTATAAACTTCAGGAAAATTCTGCGAACTGCAGGGACGTTTTGTGAGCTTCAGGGGAGTTCAATGTGCTCCTGGTAATTTCAACGAACTTCAAGAGACTTCTGTGAACTATAGCAACATTATATGAAATGCTCTGCAAAAAGTTCTTTAAACGTGAGGGAAATTTTGCAAATTTTAGGATGGTCTGGTAACAACAGGGAACATTTAATAACATTTGGAAAGTACTGTGAACTTTATGAAATAACTGAGAATTTCAGCAAAAAAATGCCAAACTCAGAGACGATCATATAACATCCGGAACGATTGAAGAATTTCATCGAAGTTCAACGAAATGAAGGAAAAACTTATGAACAGGTATTTGAAATTGAATCTAACTTCTAATAGCTGTCTCATCGGGTCGTTGGTGGAACCAATCTCACTCCATGTCTTAGAAATCAGGTATAATAGAGAGAATTTCTTGCTATATCTATTTCTCTTTCACGCTTTCCTTGTGAAATGTGATCGAGGGCATGAGCAAAACAATCAATGTTTTTCAAATTTTTTAATATAATTAAATGTTTTATTACAGTTGTTTCTTTTTACCATTCATTTAATATTTTGAACTTTGAAATCGGGCTAGTGGTTCAAAAGTTATGATTTTTTGAAAAAAGTCATTTTTGAAAAAATAAAAAATAAATCGATTTTTGGGCCACTCTAATGGTCACCCTAATGAAAAAATAAATAAAAAATTGTGATAAGAAACAAAACTGTAATTTTGACCATAATCTGAGAACCACAATATCGTTTTGCTATGGAATGGCGGGATAATAGTAAATTTAGGGACTTTTGTTTAATTATTTTATTATTAAATTTAAACATTATGAGATCCCGATAAAGCTACGGTATCTGACGGTACCGAAGAAGAAATCTTCCTGTTTCATTGAAACTTAATATTTTGACTTCTTCAATCCCCTTTTGAATCATTTTCAGTTGAATGTATTTCGATTCGTAACAGTTTTGTATCGTCATTAGTCCATATACGCCTTCATAAACGGCTAAGTATACTTCAAAATACTTTTTCTCACAAAACCTAAGATGAAATATTTTAAAACCTTCACAGATTTGATTGTTAGGATCAATACTAACTTCCTGAGAAGATAAAACTGAGGTACATGAAAGTTGCAAAAAAAGTGCCTTCAGACATAGCGTGTGGCGTGACACGGCTAACTTGCCGTTTTACGTGGATCGCTGTCGTCTGCTTGGAATTGACACCTTGGAACAAAGAAGACGGAACGCTCAAGCTGTGTTTGCTGCTATAATCATTACCAGCGAGATTGATTCCCCCGAATTACTTCGGCAGCTTTTCTTTTACGCACCTGAGAGAGTGATAAGACAGCGTAATTTTGTACATCTCGCAGCTCGTAATCGACAATATGCACGGCGAATGAGAACGACCCAAATTTGAGTTTAGTTCACTCATAATCGCCAAAAGTGCAGGAACGCAGCGATGAGTTAAATTTGTCTCATGGTTTCCTATGGAAAACCTAAAAAATCTGCCGGAAAATGAGGAAATTGACGAAAATTTTATTCAGTCTCGGAGTAGTACAAATAGACTGAGTGAATCCAATCTTTACTTTTCTCAAATTCGTGAATTTTTCCCTAGAAAAACCTGGGAAAACATGAAGCAAATTTACTCATCGCTAAGTTCCTGCACTTTTAGCGATTATGAGTTAACTATACTCAAACTTGGGTTGTTCTCATTCGCCGTGTGGGTTGAATGAACCTATCCGAGCCGTCGCTATTGCGTTTGATGACGTCTATATGCATTGTTCGACTTTAATGTGCCGTTAACTGTTTTTACTAGAAGACTGTCCTAAATTAGAATGTGTCCTGTTTTTATTTTAATTATATTTTTTTACTTCATTAAGACAACCATATGTCAGATGAATCATTGGAACAATAAATAAATAAAATTAAAAATCATTTCTCTGCGTGTAGCAAATTATTGATGTTCTTTCCCCCCACTTTAATAGTAAAACTTGCTATTGATTTGATATTCTCGACTACTCGGGAATATTCGTATCTAGATCATCGTTGCGAGATCATTATGGTGGTGATCGCTGTGTGATACAAATGTTTGTTTTGTGTCCTACTTAAAGTTTGTAATGTTTCAAGAAAATACGCAGTTAATTAATAATTTATTTTTATCCTACAGTGGTTTGCTCGTGTAGTTGTATGGTGTGCTGAACTAGCTGTGCATGAATTGCCGGATCGAATAAAAATTTAGGTAAGCACGACATTGGCTAACGCGGTATTTGGCTGTGTTTCCTAACAGGCATGCTTCTCACTTGCTCTTCCAGTTTCCTCACTTTCTATACAATGCCGAGCTCAGAACGATAATTGAACTCATTTTGTAGCCTGATTCTGTTGATAACAGGGGCGTTGATCCTTAGAGCGGTCGTATACCCTTTTTCTTGTTTTCCCCTAGTAAAAAAACCTCGATTACTTTTTTTCAAATGGACGTATCTGTAAGCAACCGCCAATTTGTCGAAACTCTTAGCACTCCCACGCAAACGAACACTACCATCAGAAAGGGTAATCTTTCCCCAACAAGATGGTGTTGTTAGTTAACATTGTTTACATAAGCAGATACGTTCCTTTGAAAAATAATCAAGAAATTTCGTTTGTTCGTTTCGCGTCAATGTTATCTTGCGTAACCAACTGAATGTTGAAAATGAGACGGCTGGACGCTTCGAGATTATAACCAACATGATTCATTCTGAGTTTTCTTATTGTTAACCCGATCGACCGTCCCCCACACTCCTGCGATCGAAATAAGGCCTTACAATGCTTCGGTCCAGCTGACACGCCCATAGTTTCTGATCACAGAATGTTTTCTATGCTGTTATCTCCGGCTGAAAACCCCACATTTTAGTGAGTCTCAATCTGCATTGCCCTAATGAGCTCGATTGAGTTTCCTTTGTTGATAATTCGATTTACGACTGGCGAGTAGCGTTCCTGTCCAAACATGGTAGGATGATTGATCAGTAGGGACAGACAGAAACAGCCAGGTACATCCAGGCTGTCGTACTCTCGTAGCCAAATGGACATATGTATACCGTTTACATAAGAAGTTGGTTAATCAGGCAAACGTATTCAAGGACAGTGACGTTTTTTCCTGTTTTGCTATGCGTTGGAAAAAAATAGGGATGATTGAAATATGAAACGCCCACAAAATTAAGCATTCGGTGTTTGGGTTTAACGGTTTTTAACGGTTTTCATACATATGGAAATTCAATACTATGTTTGGCCTACTAGGAACCAGGTGCCCATGTAGTCGCTATATTTATAGTCTGGCGTGTACAAAATCCTGGAAACTGGCAACTTTGATTTCTTCAATAATTATCTCTCACCCCGTGAAAATGCTCAAGCTTTTGCAGAACTTTTTCGTTTCACGCAACATTTATTTTTATGTAAATAGTAAAAAATCCCTCAACATGTGTATTATTTGTCGTCTACGCATTAGCCGCGTCGATGTTCTCCATGAAAACGTTAAAATAGCATTCAGAAGCGCATTGATAAATTACCACCTGAATTGATTTAATTTCTGCTAGATTTAATTATCGTCACGATCACAATACTTCGACCATATTGATCAAAAAGAAACATTCATGCTCGATTGGCTCCCGTAAGTGACAGCTCGAATTGTGTAGGAGAAGTCTGTCAAAGCAGTCATTAGTAAATTGATATTTTGACGCTCTCATACGCTCTCAATCGCAGCAAAATATCGTGCTTGATATTGATTTTTGATATTGGGAGACTATTCATAACGTGTAAAGTTGAAGCTGAGAGTTGAATCAGCGGTTGGAAACTAACGATTTAAAATTGACTCACTACTTGACTAGCCTATTGGTCCCAAGCCCAAGTAAATCGATAAACGTACCCAATTCTAGTTGAAATTCTAGTACTACACAATGTTTGTTTTAATTCGCTATGAAAGTTTGATAGATAAAATGAGGGGTTCGTGGATTTTCCTATGTTTCGAGGGGTGCATCGATTACCTTGGGACCGTTGATGGTACCTGAGCTGAGCCAAAAAGTTGAGCACGTTTCTTCGGGACCTTCTGGTCTGCCGTTTCGTTGCACAACGTTTTCTTAGAAAGAGAAGGTATAATAATGCTATCTCATTCATCTCTTCACCGATGGCAGATACGAAGCGACTGCTGCCAGCTGCTATGGAAGTTTCGGTTGCATTCGGGTGTATAGTAAAAATCATGAAACTCAATCTCACCACAGTTTGATGAGATTTGCAGGTGGTGAGTTTTGTTAGCTTGATATTCCGAGCTGCGATATCACAGCTTGCAATTGGCAAATCAAAGTTGGCACTCGTGGAGAATAGAAGAAGTATGAGTTTGATGATGGTTTCAAAATTTTACACGGTCTGCAATCTCACGAGTGCAATCTTAATATGCTTTTATTTTGCAAATGGAGCATTTTATCGAAGACTACAAATAAAGAAGACTGGCAACTCTGCCAAAAATCAGGAGACAGTAACCGCCTCTTCTGAGCAAAAGTGGAACCTGTGTATGATGGTGTGTGTTAATTCACGCATGCATTCACACACATAGGTAGAAATAAATAGCTGACAATTATTGGTTTTGATATGATTGTCGTAAAAAGTGAAACGATTCTTTCTTTGCTTTATGCTGACAACGAGTAAAATTCCAGCTGAAATTGAACAGATAGCGTTAGTAAAGTATTGAAAACTAAAACTATGGCAATGATGCCATGCACAATAATGGTGGGACCTTCCACTTTTCCTAAGCCCTTTAGTGATGGATTTATGGTGCATTAGTAAAATGCATGCCCGTTCCGCACGGCTTTGGCACCTGGCCACAGCGGGGGGAGTTAAGTTGTGACTCTCGGCAATTTGGCACAGTACTCGCTGACCATTTGAATGTCACTGGCCAATCCGATGCTGTTGTTATCATTATCTAAAATTAGCATTTAACATCTAAAATTAGCATTAGCATCGAACAAGTTGCACAATATCGTAGATGGTACGAATTCAAAACTATTAAAAGCAAGACGGATATCTATTACTGGACAGATAATAAGTAGGAAACAATCACTATCTCCCAGATAAAGACATATCCCGCTCCAACAGATAAGAATTGTCCTGGCCACGTCCTTACAGCTGGTAGGGATTAGAAAGGTATGTTGGTCCAACATTTACTTAAGAGAGATGCAGAGACCTCTACGACCCCTCATAAATTTCTCGGGAATTTAGTAATTATGTTAGTACGGAAGGTAAGCCATAGGACACACCCAGTCAGTGTTGCTGGCAAATGTAGATTTTTTTTTAAAATAATTGTTGAAATTGCTGACGCTCTGCTGTAACATAAGGTTGCTAAAAACATGCTTAAATCTAAAATTTATGGCAAATGAAAAATTTACCCTAGATGGCATTACAACAAACGCTTCGATTGTTTGTGTTCTGACAACATCCAAAATGGAAATATATTCTTTATAAATGCGTGCCGTTTGGGATTGTAGCATAGAGGTAACTCTAAGGCTAGAAGGTTCCGAAATAACGTGCTCAACTTTTTGGCTCAGCTCTGGTACTCTCTTCGGTCCCAAGCTAATCGATTCACCCCTCGAAACATTGGAAAATCCATTAACCCCTCATTTTATCTGTCAAACTTTCATAGCGAATCAAAACAATCATTGTGTAATAGTAGAATTTCGACTAGAATGGGGTACGTTAATCGTTTGCTTGAAACCAATAGGCTAGTCAAGTAGTGAACCAATTTAAAATCGTTAGTTTCGTATTGATTGTTGATTGTAGTCCTTCAACCTTTCATGTTAATATTCTCCAACATTAGATTCTGCTACGCCTTCCGTTGGATCGTGATGTAGGTACCGGATCTTTCAAGTGTAACTATTCAAATCGACGTATCTGCTTTTGTAAACAATCACTTCAATCGACGGTTTGTCTTAACTGCTAACTCATCCACGCAAACAAACACCATCAACAGGTAGGGGAATCTTTCCCCTACAAGCTGGTGTTGTTAGTTTCTGTGAGTAAGCTAGCAGTTGCCACAAATCGTCGATTAAAGTGATTGTTTACAAAATCAGATACGTCGATTTGAATAGTTACGCTTGCTTTCTTCTTTTTTGGATCCTTGAGTTTTCAGCAGCTTCCGAATGACGGTAGTTCACTCAACGGAGGTGGAAGCCACCAATTCCTTATAATTGATTGCTTCCAACTGGCACAGTAGACAATATTTCGGTTCATCGTACACAAGTAAAAGTTACTTTCACTAGGCATCGATCCGAGTTTCAATCCTCTACTTGATCCACCATGACAAGTTTTTCGGTTTGAAGTACACGCTAACTTGAAAGTACCCATTAATGGTTGAAAAAGACCCATTTTGAAGAAAAGTGGCTTAACTCATTAAATGAGTAAATTTTTTACCCATTAATGAGTATCTGTTACCCATTAATGAGTAATTGTTAATCATTAATGGGTAACAGATACTCATTAATGGGTAAAATTGTTTATTCATTAATGAGTTAAGCCACTTTTCTTTAAAATGGGTCTTTTTTTACTCATTAATGAGTACTTTCAAGTTAGCGTGTAGGAAAACCACCAGCTTGCTGTGATTAGCATACAAATTGCCGTGAAATTTTGTAGAGCAAAACAAAAACAATAACGAGTACCGTGTTATGATTATTCGTTTCGGTGACATTTGGTCACACACACACAGTCACTGTTTATGAGCAGTCTCACTAACACTTGTGCTTCAAAGTTCCACCTTTGATTGACAGAGACGCTGTTATCGAGCGTGATTTTGTTCTTTGGTGAGATTTGTTTTTTTGAAAATTTTCCAACTTTGGTCAATGCATTATCAAATGGTAAATTTTCATCGACGTTTTATTTGGATAAATTGATATTTGTACCCGGTGAATACAGTTAAACCTTGCTAGCACACTATTTCTACTCAAAACTGTCTAGACTTGAACTCTGCGTGGTAAATATGATCAAATTAGCTCTCTAATATTTTAAAATAGTCTTTATGCTAAAGGGGCCGGGCTTACCCCCAGTTCCCCTACAGAGAAGAGCAAAATCTATTGTCGCGTGTGGGGTTTTCCAAATTTTGTCTTCACACGGCTGTATAACAACTGCTTCTCTACTCTCTGTTTCTTATTGATATATACTTTCGGAAAGGTTATAGTTGCCCCTATCCGATGATGTTGTTGGTTTGCGTGGGCGTACTTTGGTTCG